TGACAACTTAGATGTTATGACAATTTCAGTTTGTTTACTAGCCAAACTGGCTGAAGGAAATCGAAAACCACTAGCCAAAACTGAATTTCTACTAGTCTGTAGCTAGTTGGCTACCATTAGTGTTGAGCCCTACTTCTACTTAAAACATAATCCCTGAATCACACATTAAGGACAGGAGAATCAAGGAGATAATCACTAACTAAAGAGCCTCTTGAATTTTAAACAAATTCTCCTCTTCAGCACCTTAGGAAATGTATAGAGTACAGTATGGAGAATATGCATACTGAAGTTAAGGCGTAAATGGCTATAACTAATTAATGTACACTGATTAATATGTAACAGTTAAAATCAATTTAGGTAAAAAGGATTTTAACAAAGTTTAATATCCAATTTTGTTTGTTACAGATCAATTACCATAGAAGGCGGCAAACGATTCACACATGATGCCTGATAAAGCCTAAATTAGTATGTAACACATGAATTTTCAGAAAGGCGGGTATTTCAGCTAGATATGAATTTTTCCCTTTTAAATTTTTGATATAAAATTATTGTGAAGTACTTTCTAATTTACATGTGACTCTGCACATGAAACAGAATAAGGAGCCCCCCCTCCTCTGAGCAACCAGTTCTTCAGTAATACATGATGTAGATCACAGATGTCATCAAAACGGGTAACAACAAAAGGACTATGGTCTTTTCGTCCAGAAGTCTTTTCATCCAAGTCTTTTCCTCCAAAAGTCTTTTCGTCCAAAAGTATTTTCACAAAGTCTTTTCGTCCAGGACTTTTCATCCAAAAGTATTTTCACCAAAGTTTGTTTGTTTACTTGTTTTAAGTCTTTTCTCAAAGCAAATAAATAACTTTTAGAAGACTAGATAAGGCTACAGAAAGAACTTGTTGCGAGCCATTCATGTAGTGACAATTACACTTCGTTGCCCTTTCACGCTCAATAGATGCTTAACAACAAGCCTTATATTTCCATTTCTTTCGCGTGAAATAATTAAATGGCCAGCAAGTCTTTACTTTTGCCACTATTTAATAAAATATATTGCAGTACAACTTCATTCATTCTCTGCGCATTTATCGTAAAATTCACGACGTTGAATTCGTAAATGAAGATTGGTGACTATAGGTATCAGAACCAAAATGGCGGCGGCTCGCAACAAGTTCTATCTAGAGCCTTATCTAGCCTTCTAAGAGTTACTAATTTGCTTCAAGAAAAGACTTAACAAGTAAACGAACAGACTTAGGTGAAAATACTTTTGGACGAAAAGACTTGGACGAAAAGACCGGACACCCAACAAAAATATGGCATTAAGTGTGTCACTGACCTCTTCATTCTTACCACTTATTGATGTCTTTTGTAATCTATTACGGAACAGGTGCATGATAACATGACATGAAACCTATTTGTTTGAAAATTAATAGTAAAGTAGCAAAAAGTTGCTTAAGTTGGTGATGACATCCATGCAGACTGTCTTCCAATAGAGCATGAGTGAGAACCAAACGAACTTAATGTGTATTTATTAATAATTTTTTCATATGAATCGTCATACATTCAACCAGAAGCATAATTTTTATAACCTAAACTGACTTAACAAAACACGACTTCCTGACTCAGATTGCTCTCATACTGCTATCTGGTCAAAGCATTTGACGCATCCTAAATAGAATTAGAGGTCAATTTTGTGGAGAATATTATACAGAGATAATCACATGACTCGCAAATGCATCTTATTAATTACTTATGGTCAGTGGCCATGGAGTAACAAAAAAGCTGTACGTTCATACCTGCAACCTCATGCAATGGTCTGGAGCCTTCGCTTGAATCTTGAACAATCTTGTCAAAATAAGTACCCAGTTGTAAGACAAAGCAGAATGGTACCCTTAAAATGATATTTTCGTATCTAAAATAGTACGTCTTCATTGAAGACCATAAATTTGAAGGCTCCATTCTTGCTATTTAGCAAGATGGGCATTGAATTCCTTCATGTGACAGTCGATAATAAAACAAATGACGACTCCTTCAGAGCCTTTAGTGAAGTCGACCAGCGGACGGAAACTCTACTTGCTAGGGTATAGAAAGGAGGGGATGACATTAAGCAATTTCTTAAGATGCTTTCAGTTTTCTCTTTTTGTAATTTGAACAGTTCATCTAAACATTTTTATCAGCTCTTATACAACGATTAACAAATTTTGTTACTTGTCATGATATAAGATTTCATAGATTTAAGGTTGCTTAATTCTGGTGTCCTCTCCTACCCCACCCTAAGATTATCATTTGCTGCATTTATCCCAGGCTCCCAGCTGTTAATGTAAGAATCAATATGGCGGATGCGGTTAGAAGGTCGATAGATTACTACGCGAAGTTGAGGGTAAGCAAACCTATGAAAAGGAAGATTTTATGCAACTGAAGGTACATGTGTAAAGATGAGTTATACTGCAATCCAATGGACCCAAAACCTGGAAGAATTTCGCCGTTCCCCAGAAACATTTATGACATCAAGAAACACCACCGCGCACAATTTTGTTTTGGACATCTTCCAGGTAAATTTAACTTATTTTCTGACTCTGTTTAAACCCTTCAACTCCCCAGATCTGTTTGCTAATTCTCCTCTCTAGTTGCTTCACCTTTCCTTTTTAAGTTAGTTACAAGAGTTTGGCGTTAGATCAAGACAACTAGTTCTACCTGATAAGGTTGAGTATTCTCATTACCTGTTGTTGGATATTGTATAGATATTATAGGGAGAAGTTACATGTAAATCACCTCTGGGAGTTAATGGTTAACAGTTAATGCAATGGAACTAAAATCTCCAGAGTTAATTCCTGGTACTTCAGAAAACTAGCAAGCTTAATTTGATTAAGTATCAACTTGTTTTGAATGTCCACTAGGTTCTTTGTCATGAAAATCTTCCCGAAAATGTGAAGCTCCAGATGTTATTTCTTCTTCAAGAAAAGGTAACTATAAATCGTGGCATTTTTACAAGTCCGACACTTGATCATTTGTGTATTTATCAATCAATTTTCACTTTTTATTTTTCTGAAATTAGTGCATGTTGTATTTTCTAGGTTTCAAGTCTTTTCCTTGATTCATTAAGGTAATGTACACACGGAAAACCTCAGCTAGCACTGCCATGACTGTCTACTTTTGACATGATCAGCAACTGGCCATTGTGTAATGAGAGGTGTACATTTTTCGCTGATCCACCCTCCCTTCCCTACTCTGAACCTATTCACTTTTGAGATCTCAGTAGTAATTCTCCTTGTTATCAGTGCCACAAATTCCTATAACCTTAGTTTTGAGAATTCAGTGTCAGATAAAGTAACAATTCTAAAGTTGATAATTTTTCTCTAGTATTTTTATACTTTTTTTGCTTGCACACATTCATGTGCTTATTACTCCCCCACCTCTATTCTTGAAGGTCGCCACAAGTCAGGAAAAAGTCAATGAGAGTAAACTTTCTTCAAAATTAATTTTCTTTTTCAGACGTGAAACTTTTTGAATTGATAGGATTTTGTTTTATGAAATGTTTAACATATTATAAGTTCTCCTTATATTATAATATCAATACATTATTGAGCAAACAGGTCATGGGAAAACTCAAACTTATCATGTTAAAGTTGTTATCTTGATCTAACACCAAATTCATATAACTATTCTACAAGAAATTGTGTCACAGCTGGAGGGGAGAATTAACAATCAGATCTTGGAAGTTAAAGGGTTATATCAAGGAGCTACATATCAATTCCTGTACACTGCATACATGTGGCTTGCTGTATTTGTCCTTATAAAAAAAATACATGTGGTATGCTTGTCAATGTTTTCTTTTTTATTCATTTTACATTTTCTTATTTGTACCCTCAAACTACAGTGTAGAATGTGCTCTACAGTCTCTGAAGGAAATGTTTCTGCCTGTGTATAAAGTCATGCTTGAGCTCTACCTAAGCCAGGTAAGGTACAGGCTGGTGAAGCTGAAATGTACATCAAACAAGCACCGCCAGGGCTTAACCCTAACAGTAGTCAACTAAAGCCACAGACTAGTAGAAATTAAGTTTTGGCTGGTGGTTTTCGGTTTCCACCAGCCAATTTGGCTTGTAAACAAACTGAAATTGTTGTAACATCTAATTTCAGTGTCACCAGCCACTTAGCTAGTGACTTTCTGTTTGTATCCATTATTGTTGCAAAATGTATTATTTTTTTCTCGCACTAACAATGGCCGCTTGCGTGAAAAAAAATTTCTGGCAAAGCAATTTGCTGATGTTGTCAGCGAGCACTATCGGGATTTTGAGCACGGTTACATATATTGAATTTGATTGCGTGGTTCTGCTAGCTATGTTCTAATGGGCATTATTAAATAAACAGCAATAATTATTGTGATAACATGGATAATCCAGTTCTTTTTTTAAGAAGGATCTTGTCAATGAAGAGGTTGTTTTACATGTATTTTTAGCTTTTATATTCATTTGTAAGTTCATGTGTTGTACTCTTTTCACAGGCATCAAGTAACTTTTCCCCAAGCAGCAATGCTCCATGGTAAATATTCTAGGGCTATTATTTTAAGCTTTCATTCCCAGCACATCAATATCCCTTTTATAAGAAAACAGCTTCATCAGTTTGCTCTCCTGCTATGTACATTGTTTCTGTCACTTGTTTGGAATAGTTTAATTGAAGTGAATAAATGGTTGTTGGATTTTCCACTTCATAGTTGCTATAGGAAAAAGCTGTTGATAAAGAAGTAAAAAATAATTAATAATGAACATTGTCCCCCTTTTACATTTGTGCTTGAGAATGTTACTGACCATAACTTTTTATTTATCAATTCGTTCTCAGGGCAGACACAGTTCCAAATCTGAGAAAGGATATGAGCCCTTATTCCCTGATTGCTCAGTCATCCCAGATTTATCTCAGTCAGGTGTTTCCGTCGTCTGATATCAATTACAAAATAATTATATTGTGGAATTATTTTATTTAATGTAATATATCAAATGCGCATTTGATCATACGTAAATGGAATTTGTGCACTACAAATATTAAACTATATTATTATAAAATGAACCACTTTACATTCTGTTCTTTAAGTAGAGATTGTGAATTAGAGACAGCAGATTTGTCTGGTTGCTTACATGATTGTACTCTTAATTTTATTGCTGTTAATATTTAGTTATTCCTTATTCATTGTTTTTAGATTTTGGTTACAGGAACTGTCATTCTGATCTCTAGGGAAACATTGGTGGGTCAATTACTTCAGTCTTGACTTTTAGGATGCATTTTAAAAATACGCACAAGTGATCATAGCATAATTATAATTATGGGACCAGCGTCACTGCAATTGACCATTTTTGTGAATGTACATACAACTTATTTATTCAAAGCAATTTCAATGTTGGTAGTATTTTCAATTTGTAAATGATTTTTTATTATTATACAATTATGCAGTGGTGGGCATTATATATATTTTTGTACAGTCTAAAGAGATTTAATCTCTTTTTGTGGAATGACAGGAAAACAGTCAAGAGGTTTTTGTTGATTTTGTTGAAGTCCTGACTGATGTCATAGATCTGGTCAGTAATTTTCATTTCAGATTTTAAACCTGCAATTATTCTTTTGGTTGCTTGTATAAAATGTATGTTGAAACATATCATTTGATAATGATAAAATATTATTTGTACATGAATGCAATGTTTGTAGCTCAAAAAAATGGAACCATGTATTGTTTGATATCACAAATTTGATAGATTAAAATATAAATCCCTTTGGATGACTAAAAAGTGTTATTAAAATATCATGTACTGCAGTACTTATGCTCAGTACTTCTGGGATTTCGCTTTTTGTTGGGCCATGTGGTTTTTTATACGTAAGTGCTCACTTCTTTGCCTACTGTTCTTTCATCAATTGGGGATTTTTTCATCGGAGGCCTGGGGACTGTGTAGTCACACAATTTTTCATGGAATTGGGGGGAGGGGGGGGATGGTGGTGAATATTAAATCAGGCTGCAAGGCTGGTGGTAAACATCCACCACTTTTACCAACACTGAGGTGAATAATTGTTTTAAGTACATAATGTACAGAAACCTAAAAATTAGATTATTTTTGTTAATAATACTGGTATTACCAGTACCAAAAACTTGTCAGAAATATAAAACCCCTATAAGGCAGGAATTTGAATTTGTCTCATTGGTTGCTTGTACGGGGGTTGATGATTGAATATACTATTCACTTGTCTGACTGTGTGGTATAAACTAATTCTTAATATTGGACATGAATTTGTTCTGAAAATCACATACAACTGACAAATTAAAGTATCAACTGGTCATTAATTTTGTTGCAGAAGTCCTAATTATTTTCACAAGTATGTTTTAATTTACAGGTCAACAACCCTTACAATCTACTTGTGAGGAGAACTGCATGTGACTGTCTTTGGGAACTGGAGCTGTCTTATCCAGTAAGTTAATATTAATTTTTTTAAATTCAATCTGTGCAATGTAGCTATTTTAAGCTGAAATATTATATATTATAGATTATTAAAAACTAGATCATTTGATAATGCAATTCAAGACTTTTTATTGGCTTAGCCATTATGGTATATCAGCCAGTATACCATAATCTACAAATATGGCAAGTGTACATGTCAGTTTAGAATTGAAAGGGAGCTAAAAATAATATTTAATAAAATTTAATAATCTGATTTAACATTTTTAATAAAACAATTATTCCACTCGCGCTTATTGAATATGAGATGATTATAGCCAACGAGGGGCGTAGCGCCGAGTTGGCTATCTATCATCTCATATCCAACGTGCGCTTGTGGAATAATTGTTAAATCGCTGCAAACAAAAGCCTTGATAGAAGATACCTGCACATGTGTGATTAAGCGCACCCTGTAGTCTATCGGTACATGTACATGTATTTCCAGTAAGTGGTAAATGTGCACAAACATTCAACTATAAATAAGAGTTTTGTCACAGTAGTGCAAGGGGTCAAATGTTTATACAGTAGTTGGTTGATAGCATGATCAAAATAGATTTACTAGATTTTTACTTAGAATATCATTATTATGCATTTTCCCTTTTTTTGGGTCATCAGAAATGAACTCCTTCATAAATGGTGGATCTAATTGCTATTCCTTTGTAATTAACTAAAATCAGCCCCTGTGGCTTTGTAAATTAGAAGTTGTTTAAAAATGGTGGAATTCTCACTCAAAGATGAGGCTAAGAAGGGGCATCTCCATGCAAAGAAAAGAATAATAATCATGCTTGTCCTCCATTATGAGAGAGGTTTTTAGGTCTATGTGTCTAGTAGCTTTGTCACTTTTAAATTAATCTTGTTCAGACAAATATTCTTTGTTCATATTTAATCATTCACTTTTTCTTCATTATTTACAATCTTTTTTATTCTTTTTTTTATTTAAGGGTCTTCTCCATGCAAAATTGGACCATCTGTATGCCAAATGTGCTGCAGAAAACAGTCCTATATTTCAGAGTTACATGGTAAGTGTTGTTAATTCTGTTTTTTTATGCATGATTATAATTATATATTTAGTATTGTTGCTCAAACTCAAGGCCTGGTATGCTGAACAATTCCATTAGCATTGTCTTGTGTGGGATGCAGTTCTAAATAATGATACATTCATGGAGCTCTGTTCCAGGTTTTTCAAAGCTGGGTTGCGATAACTAAGGGTTAGTGTGAAATACAATTTATGACTCGAAAAGTTTAAAAGAAAATCAGTATAGTTCTTTTATGTCACTCTACAATTTGATGATTGAATTCTCTAAAATGATATGAGACAATTATCTGAAAAAGCCTCCTGAACTGAGGAATAAAGAAATCCAGATTAAAACTCAACTTTTGATTTATCGACCTTTGAACAACTAACAGACCTCATGGATTGTAAAACTCTGAGCAAGTCTGAGATTTTGTTGCAAAATTAATTAATTGCTAATGTTTGCAAAATCTACACAGAAAAAAAAATATTTCTAGGGCAACACTACAGTACTATTAAATTTTTCTTACATAACTTACAGTAATGGGAAATTTTACAAATTACAAATTCACAAGACTTACAGCTGCTGTAGAATCAGTTGCAGGAAAAGAGAGCTTTGTCATGGCAACTTAAAAAAATATGATGAAACAATACTATCTGTAGATAGAAATATGATATAAAACTAACCATGAAAGCTATCTTCTTGAGAACCTGCAAAAACAGTTCAGTTGATATTACCTTTTGCATGTGTTTCTTTTGCTTCAGGTCTTGTTTGTAACAATCCTGCGTCATGCAATGGAACTCTTACTACAAGAGTCTGCTAATAGGTGAGTGACAAAAAATAACACTTGTGCGTCAAGTTATAACTTAATTAAGGTTACTGACAGATGACATCTTTTAGAAACTGAAACTAAAATTGTTTCCTTTTGTTTTTCCTCCTAGACTGGATGACAACTGTGTAAATAGTTTACTTACAAGCCGCACAGAACCCCTTAAGGTAAAATGAACTGAATGTCTACTAGATGAGATGTTTCAGTCTAGTTACCTGTTGATGTTTTTGTTTTTGTTTTTGTTTTTGTTTTTTTTCCAATGAATTCTTTGCTGTCTTTATTTGAAATCCATCCAAAAAACTTTTTAATAAAAGAAAAGCATGATCATTATGTTGATAATGGTACTAATAATGGTGATGATGTTAATGGAGCACCTGAATAATGATGATGATGATGATAATTGAATTTTTTTTACTACTGCCTAATAGATGTGCACATGCACATGCATCATATGTATTATACATGTAGTCTATACTTGACTTTATACAATGTAGATCATTCTCTACATGACACATTTTATTGTGGAATTCATAGACAAGTATTATATATAAATTATATGTTTTACTTTCTTTAGCCTCTTTATTTGCCCAAAGATATTACAAAGCAGGTTTTACCAGTAACAATTCAGGTGAGAGAATGAAATCCCCGTCAGAATACCATGCACATTTTTCATTCATAAAAAGAAATAGTCCTTAATAAGTGCAGCAATGCCTAGGTCTCCTTAGTAAAGTAGTACAGGTGTAAACACTCATACAGTAAAGCTATCCTTTCTTCATTTTAGGCCAGAGCATTAAGCTCCAGGTCATTGACTTTACCAGAGAATGTTGACTCCAAGGAACTGAAAAGAGCAGTTTCTTTCTTAATGGACAACATTGGTTTTCTTAACACTACTGGACTTTTCCATGTTATGTTTCAAGTAAGTTTCCCATTTTTTTATGTCTGTTTACTCCTTTTAAGTTAATCTTAAGTATGTACATAAGTTAATCTTAAGTAAGTGTATAGTCATCAAGTCCAAGTGTTTCTGAATTTTTTATTAAGTTATCTTCTTCTGTAAATAGATGTAGTGTTGAATTGTATTTGCTTCTTGTAGCTCATGCAATGTGTGAAACTAGCAGAACTTGCCCCAAATGTGAGTAGTTATATTCATCCATTAATACAATTGCATAATTTATATTATACAGTTACCAGTGGCAGATCCAAACATTGAGCTAAGAGGGGAGGGATGGGGAGTGTTTTTTGTGTCTGTTTGTCTGTGTGTACACCTGCTAGCTTTCCTTCCTTATGCGATTTTTTTTTTCACTGAAAGTAAGGGAGGGGGGCTGCCCCCCCCAGGCCCCTCCCCTAGATCCTCCACTGGTTACTGTAGAAGCTTTGCACCAGTGAAGTGTATTTTAATGTTACAAGTTAGATGCAACTCATTTCTCTCAACTCATTTGATGATTTGAAATGCCCAAGATAAAGAGGTTCTGAAGCTAACATTTTGACCAGTAGCTCTTTTTCTGAGCTTTGGTCGACTTCTCTGGTACATTAATTGTTAACTCATCAACATCTTTGATGAACTGACCTGAGTGTGCTATATGTCAGCAAGTGGACACATCGGAAAAGTAGTTTGTGAATAGATCGTTATGATTCTTCATTTGTCATACTAGAGATGGTTCTATACGACCCTCCTTAGCATAGCTCAACTCTGATGGCCACTTGCAGCAGTTGTGGCCCAAATGATTATCTTGATTTAATTTTTAATTTTTCTTTTCTCAGATGTTTAAGTCGCAGTTTATCACTTGGGTTTCCACAACTGATCTGTCTGTGTTTCACGTTCTGCTTCTTTTAAAGGTATCTGTTACTAAAATCATGTACTGTTTAATGCTCTGTTACACGTATTATATTTTGGTATTTATATTAAGTAGAGTAATCATTACTGTCTAACGCTCTGTTACACATATAAAATTATTTTGGTACTTATATTAAGCACAGTAATCATTACTGTTTAACGCTCTGTTGTAAAACACAATATTTTGGTACTTATAAGTTAAGTGCAGTAATTATTGCCTTTAGTGACTTGTTTATGGCCAATGCAAGTATTTTCATTGTGACGAACAAAGGGCTGAAAGTACACAACAACAAGTACCTTTCTTTTAGCTGTTTACCATTTGAAGTAGTTGGCATGCCTGAATTTTCTGTAATTCAGTTTGATGCCTTCTTCACCTGAACATTTTACATGTTACTAGCTTAAATCTGTCTTATCGTTTCCTACAATTTTTTTTTCCCGGCAGCTAAAATTTTTAGATGACTTATTCTTGGAAGGAGATGAACTTCTTCTTCTTCACAGGCAAGGACCGTCACGTAATTGTTAGAAATTATTTGGGCAATTGAATGTTCAGTATATTGCTCGTGTTGTTTAGCTCTTATAGGAGAACGTAAAAAAAAAAAAACAAACAAACAAACAAAAAAAAAAAATTTTTAGGAAGGGTAGTGAATTTATAGTACGTGTTCTGTGAAGTGGAATTTGTGAATACAGAGGTTAGAGTATTACCTATACAGGCTTAAGAACTAATAACAGATGTACCATCAGATGAATGTTTTTTTTTTTCTTAATTTTTACACACACAAAAACCAAATGCATGCATTTACTTTGTAGAATGCTGTTGGTGTCAAGTCAGCCCACCCTCGCACAAGGACAGCGTTTGTTGTGCTTTGAGTGGCTCATGCACTTCCCCACCGACGAGGTAACTTTGAGGCAGTCAATTCGTTAATAGGTTGATTTCAAATTAATAAGAATTTACATTTCTCATTATATGTACACTTTTTTTTTAATATCAGAAACTTTAGGGCTAGTTGATTCCCAATGGGTCTTCAGATGTCTAATATACTGTATCATATCGCTAGCAGCGCCTGTGCGCAATATAAAGCGAACCCTGTCTTCGAGCGGGTAAGAAAGGCCGATCTTGCCCGCTTGACATTGCCCACTTTGATCCTGCTCAAGAAAAAGAAGAGCGTGGAGCGGACTGACAAAGTTCGTAATTCTTGGTCAATGTGATGAAGTTGAAACAAAGAAAACATAAAAATTAATACTCTCGTAGGTTTATTGTGCTGCAAACATATTAGGGTTCCTGGCTCCCGAAATAAACAAGTCATCCTTGATTCTTCCTTAAGNTTCCTCACTGCTTGGATTATTCACAGTTTAGTTTCTTTTACCCTTCTGTCTTCGATTCTTTAGGTGAGTGTTGTCTTTTACTTAAGTTCGACTCAGCAGCGATTGCTGATTTTATCGGTATACCGCAAAGAAAAAAAAATTGTTTTACCAACTGAGTTGATAAAGTTAATTGGCTAACGTAAAGAGTCTCTATGAGGAAATCAGATACGACTTGGTAATTCGTCTTTCGGTCGTGACCTCTGCCACTTGGTCTGCCTTCGTCAGACTAGCCAAGCGAAAACCTTTTCGCAAATCTCGCAAATAGTTCTTTATGTAGACTACGAGCAGTCACCATTTTACAGCGAAGTCTGTCGCGCGAGTAAAAACAGAAAAAACCATGTGAGTGTGAGGCGCAGAACTCTGAAATTCGATTTCACTGATTTTGTTTTATGCACACGACGGACTTCGCTGAAAAGCAGGGACTGGTTGTAGTCTATTCTTTACGTGACTTGGAAGCTCTAGCAAACCTCTCTACAGTCTGTAACAGTTTCCAGTGTCTACAAACGGTGACGATACATGAGAAGGAAGTTTCGAGACTGAAGTTTCGCTGAACAGACAAGCATATTTTTCGTTTACGATTGTTTCTCAGGCTGTTCGGTTGCCGTGTGCCTTGCCCGACTTGATTTCAGTGAACTAAATGCTTTAAATTTTATGCTCGTCAGATGTGACAGTTGATAAACTCAAGGTTCTGTGCCTATGCTTGGATCACGAGACATTGCATTCATCAGGTACCAATGGAAATAGCTGTTGGATATTGTTGATTGAAACTTGCCTTAGTGAAACAATTCTATGAACAGCACTCAACCGGACCACGAGAGGTTTGAACTTTCCGGCACATTTGATTTACTGGAGAGGATACTTGAATTCAGTATAGTATAATTGTCAAGGGAGTGTCGAAATGAAAAACAGTATTCCATTGGCTTTTTTCGCTGTGATCTGTGGTTGGTTAAGAATTCTCTCCCGACTTTTAACTTGTGTTGTCCTGGGATTGACTGAGTTTGTTAGGTGTTTGTACTGTGACTTCTCGTCGACCTCTTCTGATGAACTTCATATATACATTGTATCTGATGGTTACTGTTGTTCTGAATAGTCCTTTTTACAGTTGTGGGCTGGGTCGCCAAGCCTTTGAACAGGAGTGAGCCTTAGGGTGACCTTGTTATGATAGAGATGTTGCTGCTTTTCAAATGCAAATTACTTTGTTATCATGCTAACTAGATACAGGTCTCTATCACAACAGGGTCACCCTTAGCCTCACTCCTGTTCAAAGGCTTGGCCACCAAGCCCACAACTGTAAATTTAAAGGGACTATTAGCTTTGTGACTACGTTGATTTTAGTTTGAACAAAACTACATCGAAAGGGGCTCAATACAGATGTGACACTCTTTTCTTGTTTGCATTTTTTATTTGGTAGACTCTGCAGGTGTCCCGTTAATGCAATGCTTAATGCCACTCCTTAAGAGAGTCCGTCAGGGAATCGGAGGCAAAACTGTGGTAGCATTGTTCAGAATCCTATTCTGGTATTACAAACATCACTGGGACTCGGAGCTTGAACGCGAAATTTACAGGTGAGTATCAAATGTGTTTTAAACGCAGCCTAGTCCCCAGGCGGTCCCTCTTACCTCGTCATCCGCGTGAAGGCTGGGAATAGGCGGATGAGAATTTCGATGACGTTGCGGTTCTTATTCGGATCCAGGTCTCACAGAGTATGCAACTGCATGCTCGTCGCTGTATGGGAATCAGTGCGTCACTTTTATTTGTTGAATCTTTTCTTGGTAGGCTGGTGTTGTCAATAGTCACTGACCACCCGCAGTTCATACCCAATACAGTAGATTTGCTGAACTCAGTGTCTGCCATTACTCCAGACAGGTGAGTACACTTGCATTGCACTATTCCGCCACCTCTAGCTGTACACAATCTAGTGTCACTTTTTTAACCCTATAGATCTTAAGAGTGACCAGCATCTAATTTCTCCTCTCGATATCACCCCTGAATCAAACAAGTCTTGAGAATAAAGGAAATGTTTGCCAACTAAAGAAGACCTTTATTGTCCAACAAATTCTCCTTGTCAGCACTGTATAAAATGTATAGAAAACAGTGTGGAGAATATGCATACTGATGTTACAGTGGAAAAAGTTAAGGACTTGATCGCTCTTACGTAAATACGGCTCTTGATTGGTCCAGGAAAGTCCCACCTCCCTCTTCACCAACCAGAAGCAGTTCACATTTATGATTTTCATATATTCGCAGTCATTTATTTATCACTTCACGGGTTGTGGTTAAGTTAGGTGATTTTGTGTGTGTGTTGTTTGCTTGTGATTGCTTTTGCTCACCAATAAGTCAAGAGTTAAAGTTCCCCGACCCGCTCACGTTTTTGTCCCGACTCTTTCATACTGGCGTGTCGATCGAACGATTTCTCGCACAGTTCTTCAAACTATTTTGCAGATGTTTATAAGTTCGCGGACAAAGTGTAATTGATTTTTGCCTTAACTCGAAGCCCCAACGCTAACTTAAGTTTATTTTGTCATAATAAACAAGTTATCCTCATGATTATGATATCTCATGTTTTGCCTTTTTACAGTAAACTTCCCACCGATTTACTGCGATCTCTGAGTGACCATGTAGTGTCGCAGCCAGTGGAGTCTATTCTTCCAAACTTGACACATCACCTCAAATTACTTTCCCTTGCAATGAGAGGTTCAGATATACAACCATCGGTAAGTAAAGTAATTGATGTTCGCCTCTGATTAGACCTAATTTCAACGGTTTAAAGACAAGAGTAACTGCAAAATTTTCGGGGGAGCGAAGTCTGTCGCCAACTGTTTCCTCGAGCCCCCCGACATTGCCTCCTACGAATACCATCTCAACGTGAAATTTTTCTCGTTTCAAGTAATGACACCAGTTCTGTGCTTGTTTTAGCCAACCATGCGTTTCTTGATTCAAATCCTTGACAAAGCGGACATCGTCCGTAATGGTGATTGGACTGTTGGAAATTGTGTACTAGCTGTGTGCTACAGTATTCTGTTACATCATAATTCGAGCTCAACAATTACAGGTGAGTTTTATTTAGTAATTTGTACTTTTTTTTGCGTTGTTTTTGTTTGTTCGGTTTTTTTTTTTTTTTTTAATTTTTTTTAAGGGTTTGGATAGAAAAACTGGCCGACTTGTCGCTGTGTTTTATCATTTTATCTGTTTATTTATACATTTTTCATCTTTACAAGTGACATTGTATTGTACTGGAAGCTGAATTATGCCTGCTTTTGATTTGATCGACTAGAGGACAGAAGCATAGTTGGCGTTTCCAGTAACAACGTTTTGCTTTTTTCTTCACCGCCACTTTTTTGTCTTTACCACCTTTTGACGTTATATTTTTTCTGTTACTGACAGAGATGACACATGACAACGTGGAATCGTTTTGTTAATCAAACCTTCACTTGTATTCTTTCTTTTTCTTCTTTCTCTCAGAACTTGGCAATCTGTTGCTGTTTATATGTGCAACATACAGGGACATCGGTATCCTTATTTATCTTTTTGATGGCATATTTCTAACGATTCGTCACCAAATTATATGACGAGTGATGCGGTGGAAACTCGAGGTCGACTTGTGTGTCACTTTTCTTTTCGTTTGACGTTAGACACAGTTAGCTAAAGCCGTAAAATATTAACAGAGAAAAAAAAAATGGAAACAATGTTAGGCATAAAAGGTGGATTGTCCAAACACACACTTCAGCCAACACGGTTATTGCATTTAGGCGTGATTGCTAAGACTCCCTTTCCCTTCAAGACAAAAAGAAGTCGAAATAACCAACCCGTAGAGGTTATATTGTACGGGCAAAGTTAATTAGAGTTTGGGTAGATGATTGTTGCCATTAGAAAACTACACTGAATCCTACATAAGCGATGGAGCATTTTCTTTTAATCTTAATGTTTCCACCAGATATCAGAGACCGTGCAAGATTTTACTACTGTCTTCTGACTAATGTATCGAGTAAAAAGGTATGTTAACAGAATTAGTTGATGCGAGCCTTTCAATCAGTTAATGCGCCAAGGAGATGTTTCTTTTCCCAATTTGTCGTGAATTGCGTAGATGATATAAAAGTCTTTCTGTGAAACATACGGCTATCGAAATATTCTGTTCAATTTTTAAAGTGCCCATAATGTCAAAAAAACGTTTTTCGGTCATCTAATTCTACATTTCACCAAATGAACTTAGGTGAAAAAATTTTACGATTTGGATAAAACGCAATTTTTTTTACGAATGTTTACAAAGTTCAAAATTCTATTTTCTTGCGATCGACCCCTGCCGCTGATCACAAAAATAACGTGCTGTAAATGACCACGTGTAAATAATCACGTGACTGATGTCTGTGACGCAGGTTCAGGAACCTCACTTTGACCTTAACTAACGTTGTCATAAAGAGCGGCAACGCACCTTTCGGGCATTTTAAACTAAATGGAGACCACTCTGAAGCAAATTCCCACTTGTTTTCAAGTCAGATAAGTCACAACCCAAAATCTCGTGTTGCTGAACCTACGTCACGACTCACTTTAAACCGAGGAAGACTGGTGCGAATGGTGGACCGAAATGGCGGTAAGTTTGAATGTCTTTAAAATATCTTAAAAAAAAATTGCGTTTTATCCAAATCGAAAATTTTTTTTCGCAGAAGGTCATTTGGTGAAATGTAGAATTAGATTAGTGAAAAACATTTTTTGACATTATGGGCACTTTAAGTGTTAAACTGAATCGCATGGCAAAACTGATAAATGGATTATAGGTTAACTGGTAACGCGATCATCAGCATTGAAGATTGAATCATGTACTTAGCTGATAATCTGACTCCTGTTTGTCACTTCTTTCTTCTTCCCTTTTTCCCAAGTAGGCGTGACTGAATTGTCTCATCAGCTTATTCAATATTTCTTTTCCTCATTTCTTCGAACAGTGTTCCAAAATACTAACCACCGAGACAGTAAAGCCAGGTCTTCCTCATGTCATCGCTGGTAATTATTGATTCTTATTATATGACTGTTTCTCACAAGGACTGGGAACTAGCGAATTCACGAATTTCATTGGCTGAAATCAATATTGAAAGCGGTCTTGATTTTCCCATCTAGACCGGCATCTAGACCGGTCTAGAAAAAAAAAAAGGTACAACGAATATAAAAAATTGGCATGCAAGACACAGCCATATAATAAACATCTTATTAACCGGGCTAGGTCGGTCTATATGGGAGAATCTTGACGCCGGGCGCTGGTACAGACCTCACTGCGTTCGGACTGTACTGGCGACCTCGGTCAAGATTCTCCCATACAGACCTCCCGCTCGGTTCATAAGAAGTGATTCGCACGTGTAGCTATTGTTTCATAATTATATCTTAATCCACATTCATCCCGACGAGAGAGGAGTCATTGACAATCGTAACCAAACGTCCCACCCATTTGAGTCATGCGGCTGAATTGATTTGAACCTTTTGATGACTTTGTCAAAACTCAGGTCATTGTTGACAGCCCCTTTTAGACTTCACTCACACTGACGAACGTGCACTCCTCTTGATGCAATGTAAGAAATACACAGTGCTGTCGATTCTTATACGTTTATAAAAAGAAAAAGTAAACATCAAAATGATAGAAATTGAAGTCAACAAAACAGAAAACGAACAAAAACAAAAACAAAAAAAATAGAAATGAAAGTGAACAAAACAATAAAATACATCAAGATAAATGTATAAAATCAAAACGAAAATAGAAAACAGAACAATGAACAAACACAGACGTAGTTCTCTCCGTGTTTTTAGCGTTCTTTTAGCTGACAAAAACAAAACAAAACAAAAAGAAAACCTGAATTATTAACCATTGTTGTCATTAATATTCTGTCCACAGATGATATTACAACCAGCACATTCCCCGTTCCACCTCCTGTAAAACACATCAGTTCTCCTTTTCTCAAGCTTACAAGGTAAAGTATTTCGTCATGTTGTTTTCTGTTAACGTAACAACCGAGCAAATGACAGTCCTAAGAATTCCCTTTAATCACCCATGGGAAACTTTGTTCTTCGCTCTTGACAAAACGATTCATATTTTTCTTAACCCTTTAAAACCGAACATCAGTATGCATATTCCCCATTCCGTTCCCTATACATTTTCTTACCGTGCCGACGAGGAGAATTTATATAACATTCAAGAGCTCTTTTAGTTGGTGATCATTTCCTTTTTTTCTCGTAACCTCAATGTGTGATCCAGGAATGATATTGTAAGGAGAAATTAGATGCTGGTCACTCAAGGTCGAAGGGTTAATCTAACGACCGAACTCAAAAGTTACCATCGTCATTTTACGACTTGAACACAAAACGCATACGACAGAGCTGATCTCAACGGTATGCAGGACTTCTGTAGCAACTGAACCTGGGACATAGGGACGAGCACGAGTTTTGCTCACTGGCTTGTCCTTCATGGGGCCGCTTCTCTTTGCAGCGCCTTTGGGCGGCAGGCTCTCAGGATATTTCATTCAGCGTCTAAATTTCAAAATCACTTTTGGTCCTGCATTTGATGTAATTCTACTCTTTGAAACTGGGATTAGGACATCGCGTTGTTCGTTTTTCAATAATACATAGTAGACAAATCTATTCTTAGAGGTTATAGAAAGCGAGAAAGTGAATAGGCGTAAGTTCTTGTTAGGGTTGCCTACAAGAAATGGAAAACTGCGAACTCGAATGATATGGACCCAACGAAGAGGACCTAAGGGCTAAGGAATGTGAACGTATTTCTTTCACCAAACAGGGTTCCTCGACCAAAATTTGAAGGTTCCTTGACTGATTTGAAGTCCTCTGACCTTGGCGAGACTAAGGAGTTTATTTCTAGAAAAGGTGCGTTTTGTACTCTTCGCGTCATCTTGGTTTGAAGTGTCTTGTTCGCCGAATTTTACAATTTCGCAATTATTGTACAGGTTAAGCCTTAACATTTAAGTACCGAGCTAGGATAAGAGGTGCAATGTGTTTGCAAGACTTGGTAGAATCTCTTTTCTTTTTTTATCTTAGTTGTTTACGGCACTTTTCGATGGTATGTTTTACAACCAAAACCATGGCAGTCAAAAGACTGGGATAGGAAGCCGATGAGAAATCAAAGGCCAAACAAGCAAACTGCTTTAAGCGCGGGAAAACGTGGGTGATCAAATCTCTATTAGCTTTAGTTTTGCACCCCATTGGTAGAAGAAATGGAGCAGGTTTTCTCAACGAATCACAGAGCGATGGAAAACAAAACTAATGCAACCGGGATTACTTTCGACACTCAGATGAGCGGAATCGGCGCTCTGATGCGAACGCCGGCCTTGATTTTTCCTTTTTCCTTGGAAAGTCGTGATTTATATTTCACTGCTACAGTTCGTTTGTAGGTGCGGAATTGATGTTGACACCACTAACATCTGCTCCATCCACTATTTTTTTAGGTTTGTTAGATCAGTACCTCAAGATGGTCGACGGAAATGCTTATAGTAAAGAAATCCCCATAAAGTATTACGTGCATTTTGTGAGTACTTGTTTTTCTCACCAACGATTTTTAAAGTTTGTAACCTCAATTTCCTTCAACGATTCAATGATACTTAACAAAAAAAATTATTCATGGGAAAAATAACTACCCCCAATTCATTGAATAGTTCTTGATTATAAACGGACTGAAAATTTCCTCTCAAACAATGAGTTTCGTGCATTTAGAGTTATTGCGTGCTATGAAATTCGGAAAAAGAAATGTGCGTTTTAACATAAAGTCCAACATAGTTCCTTAGACTGCTGTAAGAATATCTTTCATTCTGTTGTTTTTCTTTCATTCCTTTTTTTAGTGTTGCAATATTCGTTTTTTATTTTTATAATTAAAAAAAAGAAATTGCTATTATTTCCTTCAACAGACAGATTCTGCGACTCTGCCGATCCCATCGATTATCTATGCCTTGGTTCTGAAATTTCATACTGAAAGAAGATACAAGAAACTCGAAGGTTGGTTACTTGTTAGAACTTAAAACAATTTCTTATCATCGTTCGAGCACTTGTGTATTAACTGTGGTTTGATGAAATCAAAGGAGTCACAAAGAGCGAGGAGCTCGAAGGCAAAAACATTACATAGAGTGAAAATGACTCAACTCAGAAAAGACATGGATGCTGCCAGAAGCGCCAATTGCGAGTTTTCTGGACTAATCTTACAGCAGAATATAGCAAAGCTAATGCAATCTGGGATTACTTTCGACACTCATTTGAACATTGCTTTAGTAAGAATATTACCTTGAATTTTTCATGTATCTATTTTTCTTAAGAGTCAAATTAAATGAAGAGCTTATCGGGTATTCGTTTCTCTTCAGATATTCACATCTCATACTTATCGGCCGCTAAGTCAACATCTCCTTCTGAAGGTAAGAGCTTACCGTCTCTTTGTATTCCTGCGTATGAACACACTTCTCAATTACCAGAGTTGATGGTGAAATAGTCAGACAGAGAGGCGGAGGTAACAAATGTAGCGTGTACCGAGTCCTATACATATACATATACATACATACGTTAGTTGACCACTCCCCATGGGAGCTTTTCAGGGCCAATTCCCACCCATCCCAACCCAGGGTAGGACGTCCACTACACAGTGATCTCGTGCGTCGGAAATTAACGTCTCCTGCCCCTAACCCTGCTGGAGACGGGGCCTACTGTTTATTCGTCCTTATCCGAGAAGACTAGAATATCTATCCTTTTTTTGATTATAGAAAGGTAGCAAATTCTCCTCACTTATTTTAAGACCATGAGTATCGGTCCGGCCGGGGCTCGAACCCTCGACCTTCCGCACAACACAATCCGGCGCTCTAACCATAAAATATGAATTAGAGAAAAAAAAAAAGTACCAAGGAAGTATTCCAAATTGCCATTCGTTGTTACCCATTTTACCAATTGTGCAGGACTATGTTAGTGCTAAACGATTTTTTTCTTTTCTGTTTGGCTTCCCTCAGGCTGTTATGTGATCACAGTAAATTTCTGTCCACTCGACCCAGTACCGACCGTGTTCAAAGTTAGGTAAGGTTTGGGTAGAAATTCCATCTGAAAAAGGCTTACATTTGACTCGTTTGAGCTCAAGTTTCGTAGAGGACCCACCTTTGATGTATTCGTCGACGATTTGTATCTCTTACGTGACTTTCTTGTATGTTTTTTTGAAGCCTATCGAACATAACCATTCCATGCTAGATTATCATTCTAAAAAATAATTTGCTATGAGTGATCGATGCTTCTAAAGTGTGGTAGAGGGTCGGTTCGATTTTGTCATCTTAATTTCAAAATTATTTTACGGAACAGTTGCGTGAAAAACAAAAAAACAACAACAACAGTGAAAAGGATTGACTTGTGCCTCGCAACTTTAACAAGGCTGGATGAACGCAAGCGCAGACTAAACAGTTCTCTGAAAGTTCTTTCCCAGTCTTAGGTCATTAAACTTGACACCCGCCTACAATAGCAAAATTAAGGGTTCCTTGTTTGAACTACCACTCTCTCCTTAACGCTTTACACTCTAAAAATTGATATTCAAATTCGCCACACTGCTCTCTTTACATTTTTCTATAGTAATGACCAGGCGAATTTCTTTGACAATCAGGAGCTTGCTGATCATTTCCCATATTCTCGTGACCTTTACTTTTGATTCAAGGGTGGAAGTGTAAAATATTCAACTTCTTCTCTTTACTTTCAGGGTGACATTCAGTGATCAGAGGGTAAAATATTCAACTTCTTTTCTTTACTTTCAGGGTGACATTCAGTGATGAGAAGGGTCTAACCAGTGCAATGCAACTGGAGAATTTGCTAGTTCAGTTTTCTGACTTGTTTAATCCTCTTCAAGTACCAGCTTACTTTAAGGTAAAGCGTCCAGAAGTAATTGTTGAGCACTGTGATAGTTTTGTAGTATTTCTGACAGGGATCCGTGTAATACAAGACCACAAAATTTCCCCTCTTCTTTCAGACTACACCAGTTGCGAGTGTCAAAGCAGAACTTTTTTCTGTGTTGTGGGATCACATCGTTAAAGTTCAACGAACCAGGTATTCTTCACGAAATCATTTGACCTGTGTCACAGGGCATTCTTCAAGCAACGGGTAATTTTTGCTGTTTGAATAACTTTTTAGAATCCCCCCACCACACCCCACCTGAGTGCTTTAATGAAGTCATTTAAGCATGTAGAAAGTCCTTATTTGTTTGTTTGAAATTTTCTCAAAAGTACGCGCGAATTTAAGATATCACAACCGTGGTTGTTTCTGTCTAAGTTTCTCCTTCTTCGTTCTCTTCAGTTCCACGTCTCAATGCCAATTTGGTCAATCTGTTTCTTACTTATTGTAATATTTCACATTTCCCTTTTCATTTTTGCCAGAATCTCTATTCTTTACTTTTTTTGTATGCGATATTGCAGCGAATACCCTACGGGGACTGGGGCTGAATCGATAATCTCCCTATCGGTGAAGTGGAGCACCATGCGAGAGATCTTAGAAGAATACTTGCTACCGTTTGTTATGAGTGCTTCAGGTAAGAGTGACTGGGCATAGGAATTATTTTGTTTTTTAGTACCACATATACATGTATATGGATGGTTTGCTGCATCTTTTTATCATTCCTTCCCTCTTGCCTAAATTGTCCCAATACACGTTCCCTTCCTAGCCCTTCCCCCTTGCCAATCGCCCCTAAACCCCACCCCCTTAATTGACCGCCAAGTACTTATGCTATCTCCATTTTCTTTCCGCGTCTCCTCCTTACACCTTTATCGTCCATTCTTCCCTCGTCATCTACACTTCTCCCTCGCTGTTCCATTGTTTACCCCCAATTGCTCTCCTGTCTCCATTTGCCATGCTTCACGTGTTCCGTGTGTGTAACCAATGGCTGCTTCTTTCCAGATGATGAAGTTCAACTTGGTATTTTCTTACCACCTTGTCAGCATCTTCTACTAAAATTCCATCCACTAAAAGACTTAACTGTTGTTTCCATGGCGACTGATGATTGGCGGCTACTTCAACTTGTGGAATCGTACCTGCGGCAATTCGAACACGTCAGCAGATAACCTAACGAGACTCAGTGATTTAAAAGCTTGGCGGCTAATCCGAAATAAATCCTTCATTGAACTTCTCCGTACCAGAGAGGAGGCCTGGTTCAACAGCGAGATGGTTTGATTGGCCATAGATCTCTGTTAGAAGAATTTGAGTTCTACGTGAAGGAAGTGTTGCACTGAATGAGCAAACTTGTGCTCTCTTTCAAGTTTCCGAGATTTTGCAAAATGTATTCAGACATTAAAGCATTTAAAAGGCTTATGGAATGTTACCAATACAAGGAAATCGATCAGGACAAGTACTCTACGCTTTAAATAGCACAGGGTCTTGACACTGTTTTGAATCTGCCTAGTTAGGAGGACTTGTTGCTCAATTGAGGCGACGTAGAAATTTTTGATAAATATTTCCGAAATATTTTGCCCCTGTAGAGGAAACTGTACAAAAAAAACTTCTGTGGGACAAAGGCATGCTCTACCCACCCCTCCCCCCTCTTTCCCAACTAGAATGAATACACGTAAGGTTTTTGTAAGTAAACACAGACTTGATTTTGTAATTTGTATTATGTTTTGAATGATGAGTGATGACTGATTTATAGACCTAAATTAAAAGTTCATCGCAACACTTCGTGTTTCCTACTGTAGTACATAGCTTATAAAAGAATTTCATCTCCCTTCTAATTATATCTAAAGGAATAGTTGGTTTTCACCATCACGCAGAAGCTAAAAACCAAATGCTGGAGTCAAAAGTTGCGGTACCATAGATGGGGAATAGACGGGTCAATAGCAGATATTAGACCTGATCCCGCCCTTCAGCGGTCTCTCTCACCGTAGTGCATGGAATCGAGACACTTGGGTCGAAAATCTAAGATGGACGAAGAAGTTGAATGTCAGAGAAGCGCTAATAGCGATACAAACGAAAATTTAGATCCTCCAAATGCGTTAGATGTTGGAAGAAACGTTCTACATTAATTTTTCTGTTTTTTCGCGGAAATGCTATCGGAAAGAAAAGAGCTCATGTTTGTAACCATGAATTTGGTCATGAACGTGAATGATTACCTGTGCGGAACAAAAAAAATTTAATAACAGAATCACTGTGACTGTAAACGTGATCATGTTGTCCTGTAACAAAGCCAACCCCCTACCCCAATTCCCTTCTCCGCCAAGTTTGGAAGTGGTAGAAGCGTACTGGGGGACGAGACAAACAACGGCTGCGAAAAATTGAATTAAGTCGCGGAAACAGCGTTTTATCAAGAATTTTATTTTAAATTTTACCTTTAATTTATGTGGCTGTCTAAGTGTATGTTTGCCTTTTAGACTTCGATAACTACACGATGAATATTTTAGGACTTTTTTGCATGGCGAGAAGACGCTGACCACTGGCCTGCACATATAACTGATTAAGAGGATGGCGAACGTTTCCTTCTAATTTCGAATTCTAGATTGCTTTGCGACTCAATAGAGGAGAGAATTCGAATTTGAAATGAAGGAAGAAAATGTTTGTATTCTTGAATGTTCCGTCTATTGTCTCAGCGCAAATTCATTGCTAGCATATTATTGTCTGGCAAAGATTGCAACCACTGAGTGCATTTGTGTCTGTAGTCCTGAAAATTACCCTCCCTGTTCAAGGAGGTTACTGGTGAATATTTTTCACCGTTATTACCTGTCAACGCTGTTTTCTTAGGAGTGTCCGTTCTTCTGCGAAGTAGAGACTTTCTTGCTCTTACGCATTTCGGGCTTTGTCCAGTGTTAGCCATCCTATTTTGTCCTCTTGACTGCTGTGTTTGTTGTTTAGCGCTAGTGTCAGCGGTTTTCACTCCTATTCTAGAATTGAAAGACGAACTCATGTTGAACCACTCAGAATATCGACTTGGCAGAAATGTCAGAGCCTCGTCCGGCCTCCATTTCCCGGCACTCCCAACGGTCATTTTTCCCTTATTTGGCATATTACTTTCCCTTGCTTCTATCCGGGACACTCCTAAGGTCTGCGGTTGCTCAAGCAACGGACTGTGCCATCCATTTTCCCGCCAAATGTTGGCACCGTAAGCGCTGTTGGCGGGTGTTTCGAAAGATACCTTGACAAGGGGTAGCTCATAGACTCCGTGCGTTTCGCTAAGTTTAATTCCCGTTTTTTCTGGGTCAGAGCTTCCAGAAACTCTGCGAGGCTTAAATCCTTCGTCGCGGAGATCGAGTGAAATGGCGGTTTTCTGAGCCAATGTCGGCATGCTGCCGAATTTACGCGTTAGGGGTACCGTTAGGTAGTCTTTTGAAGTTGTCATCTCCGGCGAGACGAATAGAACGCACGCGACGGCTGGAATGAAAAAAGAAATGTTGTGATACAGTTAAATCGATTGTTTATTTTCGTGTTAGGTTTCTCTCCTTTTTCCCTTGAAAAAATAGTTCAGTAACATATAAACTCCCCCACTACGATATCAAAAGCTCGCTAGTGAACAAATGACGGGCCAAGACAATTGCTTTGCCAAATGATAAAGGGGGTACGTTTCTGAGGTAAGGCTGCGTCGTGAGGGGTATAACAAGATAATTTGATTTAATCAGCTGATTCCATAATGAAAATTGGCCACCGTAAGGACTTTTTAAAGCTGACGTTTCGAGGGTTAGCCCCTCGAAACTTCTTCCGAAGTGAAGCTACTGATTTTCGTTATATTGCGAAATTAATTCTAAAGGAAGTGTTTGGCCGCCAAAAACGGATGATTTTTCTCATGAGAAAAGGAGGGGAAATGTGAGCAAAATTTATTGGGATGTGAGCTGATTTTACTTTTAGAGGTTAACCGAGATCTCTTTCCACGGATCTGCGCATTGTGAACTCGGAAAACTCTTGAACAGCCACTCAATGCGCCAGAAGAAGGCAGCAGGATATAGTCGTTAAGTCGCGATCCATAGCGGAAGTGTTTACACCGGTCCCACAAACAAACAGGTCATCACCGAATACAAAAGGATTCTAACAAATGGAAACTAGGATTAAGCGCCGGCTATCCGCAGCACGAAAAAGGAAACATGATATCTTTGTTGTATTGTTGTCACAAGCTGTGCTTTGCAGAATAAAACTTGGCTTTGACTTGAGACGTCCGACCTCATGCTAGTTTTCTCCAAGATGAACCATGAAATAGCTAAAGTAGCTAAAAATGTCCTGATAAATATGTTGTTCAAATTTGTGCAGAATTATCTCCAATTAGTGATTTTGCGCAAGGGAAGAGAAAGTTCTCTCTTGTTTTATGACACCGTTAATGCTAAACTATAAAGCTGTTTTGGAAAAAATTAATCATAAAAAAAAAAAAGATTCTAAAATGTTTTTCGTTTCAAGAAAGTGTATAGTCAGATGTGTTTTAATTTAACGCTTAACTTAGCAGACTTGAGAGTTTTTTTTTTTTAATCTAGCTTTCGATATTCAAATTTCTCGTATCGGTCGAGCCTCGTAGATTAATCATTGTTGTACGTATGTACAGGGGTTTACCGGCGCTTACCGAGGCAGACCTCTCATCGCGGTCTGTTCAGCCTACGAATATGTTCTTGATTTCGCCTTCAAGTTTTGGCCCTCATTGCGCCACCACCAGCCGTTTATTGGAAAAAGTTATTGAAACCTTTCCATGTATTCTATTTATGGCCACGGAGATCTCTTTTAGTCTGAAATAATTTCTAGTTAAGATCTCGTGCATTTACGGAATGATCTTCATCCCAAACATGTTGGTGTAGTGCGATAAATAATAATGTATATGAGTTTTATATGACGTAAACAAGAGCTGTAAAAAATTAATACAGAACGTTTATCACAAACTTGGAATCATTTTCGCTAAGGAAGGTTTGAGTTCAAAAAAGTTCGTGATAACATAGATTAGCGTTGTTTCGGTCATGAGTGACAATTTTTCGACAAGCAAGTTTCATGAAAAACGAACACAAATTATGAATTTTTTCAACACATCCAAGCTGGTTGCTCGCGCAAATGGATTACCTAGCGAACAGTTTTCCGACATCTTTGTCAATTAAAATTCGCACGTATTTAAAAAAAAAAAAAAACCTTTCTCTACCTTACCGTTTTCGAGTCCTGTTCTGCTAAACGACTAACTTCTTCAGCCTTGCTACGTGAAATTTTCTGTGTATGTATTTAGCAATCTTTCTATCTCAAGAACTCGACGATTTCCTGAATATTGGAACGTTCCCATGCCAATAAGAATTGTCGCAAGCGCAGGTGGGTTTAAAGCTATTGGAAACCCATTTGTTGGTGCCTTTTACGTCAAGTATGCTATTTTTGCGGAGGCGGTATATATATTAAGTTTTTGAATTATTTATTCAGTGCATTAATGTCATTGGTAACTTCAATCATTCATATACGCAAATAGATTCGTTTTGTTTGTAATTTTCCCAGTTGGAAACTCTTCCATACGCCATCGGTTTTGTATTTACAGTCTTGCAGGGTTCTTTAAAGGGAAATATTTCATGCGGTGTGGTGTTAATACTAAAGATTAAAGACTCCATCCCGCAGTTAAGCCGCTGGGTTCTTCACTATTTTCTGTCTCCAAAAATTCAATTTCCGTTTTTATTTTAGGCGGAAAAAAAATATGGTTTTATTCAAAATTAAACTGTTTTTCCTTTTTTCACAATTGCCAGGGTCCCGGTGTCAACGCTCGTTTTAAATTCATTTAGCTTGAAATTTGAATAAGGAGGGAAACATTTTTTTTTCGGTGAAATGCATTAAACTTCATTCCTTTTTTTACATAAGTAATTTAAGAGGCTAGATTGGAGCAAGGAAGAAGAATTATATTTCAGTCTGAAACCCAGCTCATAAGAGATACTCGATCTAAAAGCGAAAAAGAACACACACACACACACACACACACACACAGGCGTGCAAAAGAATAACACTATGAAACAGATTTTTTAATTAAAAAAAAAAAAAAAAAACTAAGCTGACCAATTTCTCTGCAGCCTTTTATTTGAAGTAAACTCAGTCATCGAGAACTGCAGTTAATGCTTTGCCGTCGGTCGATGAAGAAGACAAAAAGAACTTGCTTTTAATATTTTCTTCTGTTACTGAAGAGTTCCGGTGCCTTCATATGGGCCAGCCAATGTTTATACAGAACATTTGTCATGTTGATAAAAAAAAAAAAAATTTAATTTTCATTTAATGGTCAATACAAGTTCTCGACTTAAATCAACAGCATGTTGTCAAATTCTACGTTTAGGTTACTGATCTCCTGTTTGTTGACGTAATTATGAAAAGCGGCCAAATTTCACTTGAATGAATTTACTCCGCTCTTGAATATTTTAAACTAACATGCGAGTTAAAACTATATTTGTTGACTTTGGGGCAGAAATTGAGTGGCGGGGTACGAAAATTCCGTTTGCAAAAATATATATTTTTTTAATGTATTTGGTTGTTTTTCTTGTCGCTCAAGCCAAAACTATTTTGGTATGAGCGACAAAATGTTTATTATTTTGTTGCGCTAGCCTATTTGTTTTTCTGGCTGATAGATGATCAACATTTCTGCTTTTTACCGACCAAATTCCCGTCGACTTTAATCAACGGTAGTTTCGAGCCCACTCTAACTCTTCCGGGATATCATGGTAAACTGAAAATGGTGTTCAACAAACTTTTTTCGGTATTCATTTTACTTTCTTTACAAAATTAAAACGGAGCCATCGCGATAAATAGTTAATAAAAAAGGCAAAAAAACTAGCATGGCAAATGAATATCAAGGGGATAAGCTTCTCAGAGACAGTTGTTTAAGTTTGTTTGACTCCATCCTCAGTTTAACAGGGACCTAAAGCAGTCAGAAAGGTAACGCCAGAGAAGACGTCGGTTTTACAAATTAATTTCTAATTTCAGTTAGAGTCGCATAATAGAATAAAATCTCGCATTCTGATTGGTTAATGAAGCGAGGTACTTAGCGCATAATTGTTAGTTGAAAAATGAGGCTGAGGGATTTTGTTTTGCACCTCTTGTTTCACGCTGAGGATAAAAACAAACAATATTACTGCTGGTTTTTTATCTTATGTTTATTCAGTTATGTGCTTCAAGGAAAATCCATTACCCGACGAGAGAATTCCGCGTTAAATTGCGCTTAAAAACAATTAAACGCAGAATTTCCTCGTCAGGCAATGAATTTTCCCAGAGAGTTACGCAAAAGCACTATGAGTTCGCCATCTCTTGCGGCAGCAGAGCTTATGTATGCAGCGTTGAGTTCAAAAGGGAAAATTTTATAATTTGTCCTCGGGGTTTCCGTTCTCAGACCATGCAAAGTTTGGAGCCGATTTCACGTTATTTTGCAGAGGACTTCCAAGAAATGTACAAAGTTTTAAAACGCACTTGCTGAGCTATTGTTCAGCAAATCATATCCTTTTTGCCACGCGCGTCCTCGTTGTCGTCGCAACCGTGGGTTGCTTAAGGTCCCTAATAAGATAAGCTCAGAGGGTTCAGGATGAGCTCCAAACTAAACTAACGTTAAATAATTATGACATCAGGTTTTTATGTTCATTTCTTGTTCCTTGCTCCATTTGTACGTGGCTCAGTCAATTACTTGCCTCAAAATAGGAATGAATAACTTTCATCAAGCTTAATGCAGTTTACAAGAAAAAAAAAATTGAAAAAAGTGTCCTTTCTCCCCGAATCAAGCATTAAAGTCACGAGAAGGGAGGCCAAGGATCGCCAGCTTAAGCAGCCTTTGATCGTAAATCAAATTCTCCTCGTCAGCACTCTTGGGAATTTATAGAGAACGATATAGAGAATATGTATGCTGATGTTATGGCGCAGAGGGTTAATAACAAGCCTATATGCGATAAAATTGTTCGTTCGATAGCAGAGCCGAGTGGCGCCGCCATAATGGAGGTGAAACAATTAAAACAGAACCATCACGAGAAAGTGGCAAAAACTCAATTGACTTTATGGTCTCTTGCCTAAATGCAATCTTCATTATAGAGGCGCCACTCTTTTGATTGTGTATAGGTTTAATATTAACTGTATTTCACACAGACCTTCAACGCTCGCTGATTGTGAGGGAATAATGGTTATATTATTTATTGCCTGGAGGGTGAAGAGTTTTTTTTGTTTTTGTTTTTTTTCATGGGGGTCGGTGGGTTGGGGGATCACATGGTTTTCAGGGAGAGCGGAGGGCGGGTTAGTCGTTGCCAACAGTGTATAAAGGGAGACTATTGAAAATTGAATGCCAACTAGCTTCCAATGAACGTAGGATCATAAGAATATTATAGAGCCTTACCGGGGCATCATGCAAATCCTTACACGCCACCCAAATGTACAAACAGATTTTGACGCTAAAACCAAGAATTTATGCATTGAATCTTTAACTAAGACTTTAAACTATGTTACATATGTCTGTTTTTCATTTTG